GTTTTATGTAGTGTTTGAAATCTTACAATATTGAGAATAGTTTGAATTATTTTCGAAATAAAGAAAGAGTTTAGGATTCGAAAAAATGAAATATGGAAATTATTCTTATAATGATGTTTTTTTTAAATAATAAAAATGAATAAATAATGAATAAAATTTAGATTATTTTTTTTTTTGTTTTTAATCAAGGAATTGAAATTAGAAAAATAAAAATAATATAATTTTTAAATATAAATAAGAAAATTGTTCTTGTAATCAGTTTTTTTTAAGATGTTAAAGTGTTGAGGTTATCCTTATTTTTTATTAATAAACCTGCCCTTTTTTTATTGTATCTCTACAAAAGAGATATAACATAATCTAACGTAATGATCTTGAAATAATCTTAATTAAAAATACTTCAACGATGCACTCTTGTATCGTTTTCTTTATATTTTTTTTTTTTTAAATATAAAAACTTTTTTACTGTCATGCCAATACTTTTTTATTATCTTAAGTTTAATTTTATGCTAATACGTTGTTTTCAAATTAATAAAACGATAATGTTAATTAAATCGAAAAATCGGAAAATTGTAATAGGGTTATATAAGTACATAGGGGATGATAAAAATACCTTAATTAACTAGAATAATTCTAGTAAGTTCTCAAATTATATATTTGTTTCTTTAGAAAATTTATTTTAAACGTTTGTTCATATTCAAGGCCATTTTGTCGTGACGTACGTGAAATCGATAAACTTGTCTAGAAGTATATAATAAGAATTAATGGAACGTAATGGAAAGAGGATGCAGTTTCATTTAAAAGACAATGATTAACATTAAATGATTTAATCTTAAATTTTAAATCAAATTAAATTCAGAAAAATATTTTATAATAATATAATATTTTTACATAATATTATTTTAAAATAGTTTTCAAAAAATAGATCATGTTACATATATCAGATGTACATTAGTATAATGGCGTTTTTCTTTCTTAATAGTAAAAAAAACTTATCTCAGTACTTCATATTTTTTTATTCACCAAAAAAAATCATACAAATATTAGATCTCATCAAATAAATTCATTCAAAATTTATAAACAAGTTCATTTATAATCATTAAAAATAAAATAATATTATATTATCTATTTTAATAGTATTTTAAATAGTGAAATGAAAATATTAATCTATTTCAATTCTCCTAATGTCACTTATCATAATTTTTATTTTAATTATTTAATTTTATATGTGTAGCGTTTTACCTATATCGTCATTGGTCTCGTGATGAATGTAGTCACTGAAATCCGGTGGCGTCGGGCGTGAAGAAGAAACGTTTAATAGAATTACCATAAAACGTTAGGTTAATAAGTATGTATATCTAGACGCGAGACTCGGCTCGTACCAAGCGAGAAATGACGACGTAGGAAGAATGCATAATCGCATCACGTTTTCGCTATTCCACTCGTAACACGTGACTGCACATAGTTTCTTGTACGCGCGACTGCATACACCAAAGATGCATACTACGTGTGCAGCGCGCACGACACGTGTCTTATGTGGAAAAAAAAAAAAGGAAGAAAAAAAAAGGAAGAAAAAAAAAGATCCGCTCGTTATACTCGTCCGCTTGATGAGAACGCTTCGAAGGACGTTTAAATCTTACTATTTCTTGCTGACGAATGGGGAATAGTATTTCCTGTTTGGACGTCTATTAAAACATCTTAATACATCTAAGATTCATATTTCTTACTGATTTTCATATAGAGAAGGAAGTTGATAAAAAAGGATCAGATTAAATTTTAAGTTTGCTTAAATTTTAATTGAGTTTTTGAATATTTATAGTATTATTATTTGGTATCATAAATACTTCAATCTAACAGATATATAATATTTACTTCATATTGTTTTCCAATATATTTGCATTTTATTTATGTAAAAAATTTTTGTCATTGCCATCTTTTCTCAAGTTATATTCTTCTGATACAAAATTGAAATTTCTGATAGTAAAAATTTATAATACTTAATAATATAGAGACAGACAAGAAAAGAATTACATAGAAGGATAAAAAACGGTTATATGCCTAATACTTTCCATTATATTGTATTGAATGCAATAAATAAAATAATGCAAATAACATAAATAATTAATTAAAAATTTTTCATTAAAATTTATACGAGAAAAATTTTAGATTTTAGATTTGCGATAAGATGCAAGCTTAAAAATGCAGAAATTTTTAATAGGAAAATTCTAATTAATTAATTTTCAATATTACATTTTCGATATAAAAAAAAGTATCAGGAGCTGCATAACCGAAGTTAATGGCATGATTTCTTTTTATCTATGACGTCACGAATATCTCCTTGTATATTCTATATTCCTATTAACAAGTCAAAGCTTCCGGCATCTATCCACAAGATGGCGCCACTGATACTAAACTCTTATTTCTTTTATTTATATTTATATGCAAAATGTATTTCGTCAACAATTTATAAGAAAAAGAAAAAACGCAGTGATAATTTTATGATATTCAAAAATATTTGCCTGAGAGGTATCATAAAGCAACTTGTATGTAAATATTCTGAAGTGAAAAATATTAAAAAATATTGAAGCTAGGAAAATAAAAAATATAAAGATATAAAAAATATATCATAAAAATATAAAATTTATAATTTTCATTTTTTTATTAAATTAAATTTTTATATCTAAAACTTTTGGCACAGCTAAAAAAATTTATAATATTTATAAAAAAAATAAAATAAATTTAATTAATTACTCAAATATTCTTCAATCATTATAAAATATAATGATATATCTTATATTTTCTTATAGGAATAAGTAGTAATAATGTTTAACAATGTAAATGAATATATACTAGATAATATTAAACAAGATAAGAATATTTAAAAATATACATATTACATATATGTTGATTCATGATTTACATGATTCACATACTCATTTTTGTTGATAGTGAAAAGTTGAAAAACAAATATTTAAAAAATAAATATTCGAAAAATTTGCATTCTTATAAATGAATCAACTTTTTGAAGATCTATTATTAATTTATCATGTCAATATATCATATCTGTGTAATAAATGGTATCTTTACTTTTATAACAGCATGATACTTATATTCGATACTATTATAATATGAATATAATTATGTAATTATTTAATTTTATTCATCTCTTCATCGCACCACCTGCTTATATATGTTAAAAAAAATATACTATTTTTAATTAACAATATTAATATGTAAATTTTATATAAATAAAAGAAATAAATATTATATATCTCTCATGAAAGAGAAAGTATATTATATGTAATATTATAATAGATAAGTGGATAACAAAAATAAAAATTGTCAATTTATTATGTATTCAATATAAAAAAATCTAAAATGATTTTCGCTAATTATATGTCATTCCTACAGTTATTTCTTGTCGTTCAAAAAAATTAGAAAAAATTCACTTTAAGTTTTCAAACCATTTATCGAATAAAATCTGTCATCATAACGATTTATAAAATTGCAAGGTTATTCCAATAGCTGACGTTCTAGGTAACCCACATTTATAAGATAGACCGCTTTTATAACGCTTTCTCTAGTAAAGGTACCCATCTGCTGGGGCACCTGACTCGATTCACCTGCCACAAGTATGCACGTTGGTACGCGGGCCGCTCGTCCGCCTGACATCGTCAGGTGTTTCTTCTTCGTACGGCTTTAATGGCGCGCCGTGTCTCGAAACAAAGAAGAGGGTGCAAACCGAACTAACATTCTCTCATTTCCCTTTTTTTTTCATATCTGATGAAGATCCAGCCGCGGATAATCGGCCCGTTGACTTTTTAAATTTCACGTCGATCCGCTTCCTTAGCCCACTAATAAGAAGATGATCGAGTTTCGTGGCAGTTCGTCTTTGTACAGCTGTGCTGTTGCACGCCTTGTTTTTGACGGTTGTGTAAAAGTTATATATGCATACGTTGTTAATGTATATGATGTTGTTTTCGAAAAAGATCAAATCGAATGATTAATGGTAACATTAAAAAAGTGATTGAAAAAAAATCTTTAGACATTTCATTAATAAATATGAATATAATGAATAATAGATTATTCATGTATTATGTATGAGATTATTATTGCTAATATAATATAAATATACACTAATAATAAATAATCGGAATAAAAAATAAAAAACAAAAAATATATTATTCCATTTTAATAAAAAGAACAACTTCTTCCTGTAATATTTTTATTATTATATATTAAATATAATATTTTATTTTATTTTAGATTAATTAAATTAATTAATTTAATACATATGTATTAAATAATGTAATTTAATACATATGTATGTTAAGTAAGTAATTAATAACAAGTTAGAATAACAAAATTTAAAAAAATGTGAAAAAAATTAAAATTAGAAAAATCAGTACAAAATTATTATTATGTATAAAAAATATTAATATTAAATTTTATTTTAACATATATATTAATTTATATTATCTTTAATTAATAATAAAACTTGTTTTAGTTGTTTGATATATAATATAAATTTATATAATATATATATTAATATAAATTTATTATATATGAGAAATTAATCATATAGTAAGTAATAATATTTAAAAAAAATTTTAAAAATATAATAAAATCGATTATTAATTAACATAAAAATAATATAAGTTATTACGATAATTAAAAGTTTTAATTTAAAACTTCTTTAATATATATAACATATATATGATTATAAAAAATCAAAAATAAATGTATTAATATAAAATATTTATGTATATATTAATGTAAAATATTTCGTGAATGTCTGAAATTTTTGTTCCTACCTTATTTCTTTTTGCAAAAAATATGATCACTTTATTGTAAAATGTTTTTTCATGAGTTTCTGATAAAAAAATACGCATACACAATGTTTCATCCATTTCATTCAGTAGTTGTTAAATATTTTTTTTTTTAGATTATATGTTTGTACAATATTATATGGAAATTAAAAATATTCATTTTTCACATTGGCGTTTTCTTCGTACATAAATATTTATATTAATCAATATATATAAGATAAAATGCAATACATCAAAAAAATAATTGTACATTCTTTTTCCGAGATTTATAGCCTTTGTATAGCCTTTATGTATAATAAATTCGTCTAATCTTGCGTAATATAGCATAAAGTAATAATCACATATAGCGATTGTGAGAGTTAAAGACTTAAACTTTAGAAAGAAAACGAAGAAGCAAAACGATGTACGAATATATTCGTGCACTAAAGCATTTAGTTGAAGAATCGCGTGTAATATTTGCGACACACGCGAATGCAACATAGGACACGCGACATCGCGTTCCGGTCTTTCGTTTCGTTTTGTTCCGTTCCATTCCATTCTATTCCATCCCGTTCCATCCTGTTCTGTTCCGTTCCGTTCCGTTCCGTTCCATTCCGTTCACCCCATTCGCAGTGTGCGTGTGCAATGTGCACCGATGTCACGCCATCACGCCATTAACCGTCCAGCACAATATGCGCATAGACCATCGTCTCCGTCGTGGGCCACAATTCGTGGCATTGCCCCGCCGTCGCCTTTGCAATACCTATTATATATACATATGTATGTTATATCATATAAAAATAGATCGAGTTATGAGGAACAAAAAATACATAAGAATGATTCAAATTTTTTCGATAGTTGATAGTTTCGATAGTTTTTCAAGAGTCACATTTACATATTAATGAAATGATAGTTTTCTTGATAAATTAAATTAACATATTAAAATGACATTAATATGAAATGAAATGTAAATATTTATATATATGTATTTTAATTCTACTAGTGGGTAATCATAAAAAAGTAAAAAATTTTATAAATCAATAAAATTTAATGGTATATATAATGAAAAAAATATAAAATATTAATCGAAATAAGCTTTAATTTCCTTTCATATAGATGATATCGGTTGTTACCAGTTATCACAGTACACACAGTTTCTAAAAATACATATTTGATTAACTGTTTTGTTGAAGTATTCTTGAAACTATAAAAATTCTTATAGAGTTTTGCAAACTATATTCTTTATCTTCTATATTAATATCTTCATTATAATATTTTATAGCATAATAAATAACATATTTGTTATTTTTATTAGATATATTTATTAGATATATTTCGAAAGATTATAGATGCAAAAAATTTTCCATTTTCCATCTAGAATGACCATATGAAAAAAATTAGATTAAAATAACTTATACATACATAATTTCTATAATTCATATATATTCATATATTTAAAAACAATTATTTTGATATATCGATATTTGCTCTTTCTATCCATTATTTATTAACAAAATTTATGGTAAGATATTTTTGTAGCAAGAACAGGTATATGACCTGACTGATCTAACCTATACTAAAAAACGAGACCGCGAACTATATGGCATTAACGCGCACTGCGCGTAGTCGGAAAACGATGTGATATTGACCGAGGCAGCAACTATAGCGTAGCGGAAAGCTATATATTGAATCGCACAAACGAGACAGAGAAAGAAGAAAAAGAAAGAAATACGGCATAAAGTAGCACATCCCGCTGGATGACCGCGGAATCGTTTTCTGTATTAATGTTTGAATATATGTTGTACATCAGTGATGAAAGAGAACGAGAGAAAAGCATATAAAATGCAACGCTGTCGAATAGCAGTAGACGAGCAGCCAACGATTAATTCGATCGTTCGAATATAGTACTTGAAAAAGGAGGAAGCGAGAATGAAACGCGAGAAAGAAAAGTGAGAAAGAACGAGTGGGGGAGGTTGGAACGGTTCAGAAGAGAGATAGATTTGTATGAAAAGAAAAGAAACTACGGGAAGGAAGGAGACAGTCGAGGGGTAGGAGGATGGAAGGAGTTTGCACGCGGCGCGGAACCGGTTATGTTCTGTCGAGAGGTTAGGTAGGTGAACGAAGGGAAGAGGGAAAACAAGCTACCAACGACTACATACGACGATGTCACCTCGTGTGTATTCTGCATGCAGCCACTCCATGCAGGTAACAGCAAATCCATCGACGCTGCGGCTTTCTGGTGCGCGCGCGCACATTTGCTCGTCTATATCCCCACGTAACTGCTCCCCTCTGGTCCCCTTTCCTCGCTCAGTTACTCCCGTGCAACTTGCAGCATGACGTCACGCTCGTATACGAGAAAACGAGATAAGCGACGCTGCGTAGGGAGCCTCGACGAAGGCGTACGAGAAACGAGCGAGATGCTGCGCAGTCAGAACGGCAAGGTGCCTGACACAAGGCACTTTTTCTCCCCTCTCGCTTCTTTCTCATTCCCCTTTCTCCTTCATGTTTACTCCTACTCCTTATTCCGTCCTTATTCATCTTTCTGAACTATTTCTCTTTTTCTCTCTGCCTGTTTACAAACACGCATAAACTCGGCCGAATACATGACATCATCGCGCAATCTTTTGATGCCAACGAAAGAACGACGATAGAGAGACGACAACTGGTCCCCGTTCTCTTGGCGACTCTTATTGCTGTTGGTTGATCGATCTAAAAGCAACCCGCCGCTACTTTCATTTTCTCACGTTTCGCGTGTCTTCGACTTAAATCAATGCTAGTTATTTAACTTATTGCTTTCAAAAATTTTATTCTTATATATATAAGAGTAGAAACTAAGGATAAAATAAATCGTGAAAATGGAATACTAAAATTCATGCTGAATGATAATTAATATCATATTTTTGCCAAATAAATCGAATGGATAATAATATGTTAACGAGAGAATAAATTGATTGCGTGTTGTGTCACGAGGAATAGCGTAACATATAACGTAATATAGAGTAGCACCATTATCATCCTGCTCATCTCTACAGTTTAGTCTCGTGTCACGTAGCGTCCGTGACTAGTAACAAGTAGACGAGCTATCGTGACGTCATCGTTATCAGTAGGGTACTGAATTAGGTCGTATATCGCGCGCATATCCTCTTCCCTTGGTCCATTTCAAACGGTAAACATTGCACGGGGGTTGATTTAAAGGATCGTTCATATTCCTGACGATTTCTCGTCACGCGAACTCTCTGGGTCGTTGTCATTTTGATTTGACCCATTGATAAAAAAAAATTAAGCATATTTTTCTTATATTCTTCTATTGGAAATAGAGATATTTAGATTTATAAAATTTGTTATTTTATTAATTAAATCATAATTGTATTAAATATTTGAATAAAATAAAATAATTAATTAATATCCTTTGCAAAGAATACAAAATTATATTTAATATATAAAAAATATATAATATCTACTATAAATTTACAAATTTTAATTTTATTTTAAATATTATATTAATCTAAGAAGCATTTCTTTTATCTGTTAATTTTACAATTAAACACTTATAAAGTTAAAATAGCCAGGGCCAAACATTTATGTATACAATATACGATATTAACTGTTTGGACTACTAATGAGGTCAAGGACAGTCAGATGATTTATAAAATAATATTTTTTGTAACATACATGTGTAATACATGTTATATATAGAGAAAAACTAAAAATACACTTACAAAAATTTGAATGTTCATCTGAAAAGGTACATGAACCTTAACAGAAATAACCTAACGCAACCTCGGGTCAATATCGCAATGGATCCTTGAAGAACCTAGTGTTTTTGATTTGGATAGTAGCGAACGCGACGCTTTTCAGGCAAAAGGTTAGTAGAGAAGCGCCGGATTGATTTTCTCTGGCAAACGTATATTGTGACGTGACAGAATGATATTATCCGTTCTGAACAACGTACTGTTCTTTACGATTGAACTATACTGAAGATATTTTCATTATGGAACTGCGATGAGTTTCTTTTGATTAATACATTTTTCAAATTAATTAAAACAGATTAAGAAATATGAAAAATGTATATGTATATACGAGAATAATAAAGTCTTTATTTAAATCGTCGAATGTTTGAGAAATAAACAGAACAAATCTACATAGCAAGGAAAGAAGGCTTTGAATTTCCGACACATGGAGAAATCTGACAACGTTGTATGATTTTTCGCAATGTTGCCACAATCTCGTGACGTCACAAGACATACGACTCTCGAACGAGCACGTAAAACAGCTCGCCGGTAAAACCAAACTTACGCTCGGAAAAGTACAACGCTCTCTTTGTTACTTGATAGAAATAATCGGAGATTATATCTAACCACTTTATTTACACTTATTGTTAGTGAAATGTAAAAATTACATCTTTTATGCTTTGCTTTTATATTCACTTCGATAAAGAAGTAAATTTAACAAAAACTTTTGCGAATAATATTATAATTCAACCGATAAAATTTTTAGGTAATATGCTTCTCAAATCAAGATTCGTTAAAATTTTTAATAAATATATATAAATTATTCTTTAAATATTTATTATTTGATGTAAATTTCTTTAATATATTTTATTATTATACAATTATTTTTAATTTTTTAATGTTTCTTAGCGAAATTTAAAATCAAAATAAAAAAATCAAAAAAATAGTAGATATAGATTATTAAGATTATTATTGCTGCAAAGTGTTGATGATTTGCAATGATTTTTATGATTTCTTGCGTAAGAAAAAAATAAATTATCTTGTTTTTTTATACGCTACCAAGAGCGTAACAAAACATTTTGTTTAAGAATCTTTAAATTCTATTATGTAATGGTTCAACAGTGATAATTATACATATAACTCTATAACATACTTACCAAATGTGTTCGAATATATACTTAAGTTATTAAATATTAATATTTAAGAAATTATAATTCTTCGCGTAATGATTCTCGTTTGCATTGATTGGTTCTTCTATCGTCAATGATAATCTAGTAAATGATATCAAATTTTTTGCAAGATTGTAAACATAAGATTCTCTCACGTGACCATATTCGTTTGAAAAAAATCTTCCGTTCAAAGTAGATCGTTATCGAGTATATGTAGATAATACGAAATCTAATAAAGTGATGTTTTTATATATTTTATATTATATATTTTTCGAATATTTATCTTTTTATATATACATAAACATATGTCTATATGAATAAAAGATTTTATTTTGTAAATTATCGCATATATTCTTCAATAAACTTATGTATTATGTATAACATACGTGAAATATACAATTTTAATATAATTGCATTTAATTGTAGTCGTGATTGTAGTAATGCAGACAAATTAGAAATTAAAGTATATTAAAGAAGGTGTCATCGAGCCAGACGTGTCTACCGCGTGTCTCGACGAAGCGGAAATAATTTTGCAGCGCGTCGCGCTAGATAAAGTCGCCCTATCAAACGCCCCTATGAAATATGGTAGCCTAGTGTAGCTGGTACTTGTCACTATTAAATACATGATTTTTTTATAAGTGTCCATATCATTAATATGTAGTGTACTCTGTAAAATTGTCGCGTGAATACATACGGAAAAATAATTATGTAGATCCTTTGTTGACACAGAATATGAAAGAATTAATGGGTAAAATTGAATTGTATCATCGAATCTAGTGACAAAGTTATCAATCTTTAATTATAATTAAATGAATTTGATATATTCTGTAAATTTAACTGAATTAAATTTTCTTGCATTGCAATTATCTTACATGTACCAAAATCAAAAATTAAAAACGAATTGTATTAAAATTACCAATTGACAAAATTTTTGATTTGTATATGTATTTATATTCAAATAATTTTTTTATTGATATAAACTATAAAAAATAAAAATTAATTAAAATTTTCGATAATGGTAATGATATACAAGTTCTTTAAATGCAATTTTTGGAAATCGATCGATAAAAATATATTAAAAAATTAATTTGAAATATATATTGTGGTATACTGATTTTTATTGACTGGAATAGAATGATGTTTTTTTTTTTATTTTATAAAGCAATAAAGCAAATTGTAATAGTAGAATTATGACGTACGAAACTATATAATCATTCATTTTTTCTTGCTTCGTTTCGTAGATTATGTATGTATACATTAAAATTTTTTGTTTTTCTATATTATATCTAAGATTCGTTTTACGAAATCATATTAAAGTTTGATGTCAGAATGATGTCATTCCTTTATAGACATTCAATATGCATTGGACAGGAATTCTTAAAATGCATATGCATATTATAATACTCCTAGAATGATTAATAGAATTATCTTCGTTCTTTTTTGAGTTTATAGTAAAAGAAAGTATATATATATATCTTTTTATACATAGAATAAAATATTTATTTTATTAATTAAAGTAATAAAATATTAATTAAAAATTTAATTAAAGTTTTATTAATAAAATGTCAAAAACAATTATCATTATTTATGAATTTTTATTTATATATTATATGTGTGCAACATTATATATGTTATATGCAATATTATATTATTTTTAAAAATTACATGAATTTTTATCGCGTTTTACTTAGCATAAGATATAAAATTGATTTCAACATCATCGAGTTATAGATGACGAAAAGATATTATCATGAATATAATAATCATATAATTTAATATATTTTCCGATAAGATGTTACTATCTTATCGTATCTTTCTTTCTTCTTTTCTTTATAATATTATTTACAATTAACACAGAGATTAATTTTTTTGTTTAAGTCATAAAGCTATTATAAAATATCTACGTAATTAATGATTAATTATATAAAAATACTATTACAAAAATAATTTATCGATGGATATCTATAAAACAATCGAAATTCCATTACGCATCATTTGTTGTTGAACAATAACAATGCAATCAATAACTAAATTATCTATGCATATATTCTGAACGCCAAGCCTCCTGTTATCGCTATTCCCTTATCAGACAGAAAACTTGATAAAATGGCATGCCACTATGTGATCACCGAGTTCATATTATAGTATGAATAGCCATTGTCATTTGGTCTAAACAATTTCGTTTGAGTACATTCTAAGATTGCACTTTATGAACTTTCTCATTGAATCAAAGTCATTAATCAACAGAAAACAGCAATTAAGATAAAAGAAGATTAAATTGATGGCATTAAGATTGTCATGAAAAAAATGAAAGAATTGTTTCGAGAATATTATACATGAAATCATAATATAATAATTTCGAATAAAATTTTTTATATTTGTTATGAAACAAATTAATATGATAATTATAAATTGAAAAAATAAAACTTTTTATATTTTGTGGAAAAACTTTGAAAATAAGTAAATAAGTTAAATTGAAAGAATTAATAAAGTTGTATTTTTAATAATTTATATAATATAGAATAAAAAAGATATGTATTTAAATTTTTTTTTTCAATTGTTACATAGTTATAATGTAATGCTAATTATGTTATGAATATATAAAATACTTAAAATTGTATACATTTAAGTATAGTATATAGTAAGAACTAGCATTGGTATATATTTATATATATAATTATTATATATTATTTTCGTTCATTATTTTTGTCAATTAAATACATTAACAAACATTGAGTACAACTAAAACATAATCCGATTTTAGATTCCAATTCAGTCTCTTAAATACAATCATATTTCTTACTAAGCGCCATTTTAATTCAAAGTTAACTAAAATTCGAGATATATGTAGATTAAAATGGGTGGAGCCATTTTCAATTTTTCTGTGCATATATTCTGTCGAGAATTATATTGTTAACACCATTAAATTAAAAAGAGAAACAAAAATAATTTGTATTAAATATTCAGTCGACTGAATAATCATCAGTTTAACCTCCTAATAAATTATAAAATTTTATCCATATTCAGTAAAACTGAAGAGTAGTTCGTTAACAGCATTTTCTCGAGTGTAAAGTGGATCTCTCGTTGCGAAGAGTGGGTATGGAACGAGTGCGCGCGCGTATTATCGTCATCTTTTTTCTCAACTCTTTTCTCCTCTCTTTTTCTCTTATTCATTCGATCAGTGTGTTCGCGCTCAAGTCCCGGTCGCTGACTACGTGTCCCCCTAGGGCAAACGCCTGTGCGCATGCGCAGCTTTGCGATTATGACGTCATGCACCATGACGCCACAACTCCCGATTGGCGGAGCGCGTCGTAGCCGTCGTTGTGTCGTCGTCGTCGCGTTGTCGAATAGTGGAAGGTAAAGCGGGGCAAGGAAAAGGGAAGGATCGGTGAGGGGGAAGAGAGCGACACCCGTAGCTCCGCTTTACCGCCGCATTCTCGAGCGTTCGTCTCCGTTCGTCTCCTCGTACGGCAAGCAAGCGAGCGAATGCACGTCGTCGTGTCGCGCGCATACCATTATTTCGTGTCTCGTGTTCAACCTAGAATACAGTTTCTCTTGTATACGTATCAACAGCGTACATCTGTGCATCGGTATTAATGACGCTTAGTCGTTAGTCAGTTTTCGATGAACGTTTATTGCTAGAGTAAGTGTGGTAAAAATATCTGGCGTCCGAGTAACGTGTTCTTCTTTTTCTTTGCTCCGCCTTTACGGCGCGTCGCTCACTTCGAGCGCTAGAACGCGTTTGCTAAAATTTCAGTGCTCGATAATTCTCAAACTATTGAACATCATTTTTCGTGGCGTTACAATATAATCTATTGTAATTACGATACAAAGTGGAAAGGAAACGTGGAAGACGTAATGGGAATATATTGAGTGATTTTTCGAGAGTGAAATTGATTTTACGTGGTGTTTATTTTACGGAGACTAGCACAGTCTCTCATAATAAATATGTTATAAAATCGTTATCGTGCATCCACAAAGTGCATAAAGGATATACAGGAACAGAATAATAGACGTGAAAAAGTGAATGTGAGTGATACGTTAGTACGTTGTGACAACGACGACGACTCGGCGGAATATTCGTGGACGAAGAAATTGACCAAAATGATGGGGAAGAGAACGCAGTGCTACTTGTGCGATCTGCCTAGAATGCCCTGGGCAATGATCACGGAATTTTCGGAACCCGTGTGCCGTGGTTGTGTAAATTATGAGGGTGCCGACAGAATAGATGCAGTATTGGAATCGGCTAAGCAAATGAAAAAAGCACACGGTTTCCATGAAGCTAGATCTTCTACATCAAAAGCTTATAGAACATCCGGACATACTGAACACAACGGAGGTGCTAATTTGGACGTTCTACCAATACAGAATACTGGTCAAAATCATTCAAGGCATCACAATATTGCTAGTTATTCACAGCTTCATCATCGAAACTCCATTACCGAATTCAACTCAAGTACATCAAGGCAGCAAATCTCTCGGCAACATGAAGAAACTCATGAGATTGCAAATGGCATGAGGAGTAATAACGTGAGAATCCCAAACGCCCACCTAGCAGCAGTGGCGCATCACGTGAATCTTAGCCACAACAGAGGTATCGCACAACTCAAACGAAGTATTTCCACAATCGATGAGGATGAGCATGCTGAGAAAAGACTTTCGTTGGAAGAACAGCATTCAGTAAGACCACCATTGACTAGAGGTGATTCCTTACCAGCTGTAAGTCTTGCCGTCAGTTATGTACAAGATAGAAGCAAAGAAAAACATCCTGTGAGAGCACCTAGCTTCGAGACCGCCACTTCATTCAAGGCCAATGGTAAGTTATACGCAGATGGCACAATGTGGGTATTTGTATTATGAATAACTTATGAATATTCCACTTTAAATATATTAATCTTTTCATTATTTTTGATTTTAACCTAAAATTATCTATAGATGTTTATATTTATAAAATTATTTTTTCATATTATCTGTTTATAAGATTATAAGTAAAATATTATCTTACAAAAAATTAAATAGTTTGGAAGACAATTTAGATATTTTTTCCGATATGAATCATTCTAATATCTTATTATAATATAACTATTATTTATAATTGAAATATATATATTTTATCGATCATTTTTGTATCGCCTTAACTAAAATATTTTACTTTCTTTCATTTTGAACCAGATGGTTTTCTTTGCACGTTCTTATCGGCTGGTAGTAAAAATAGGAAAACGTTTAGCCGTTCGCGTGGCCATCTGGCACGAGAAAAGAGCTGCGTGTATGAGTTAAAATTCAATCTTTCGCTTCGAAGAATCATCGCACACAGTAAAAGAAAGTTACATCTTTCTTCTCTCTTTGCTCCTACCATATCACAATCGCTCATTGCTTGCGGTTCCGAGTGAATGCGTTCCCTCTTTGCTTCTTTCAACCAGTTCCTTCATTCTGGACGAACGGCAGTCGTCCAAACGCGTATAAAGAGACGTACGTTGAGCACGTGATGAGACGACCAAAAGATACACCGAGTTGCCGTGCCGTACCGTACCGTGACGTCCAATCGAATGACGTCACTCAGTATATTTAGATACAATGAATGAGTTCGTTATTGCTCAATACAAATCTCATCAAGCATTGTAAATATTTTACAAATGTAATTTTACTACTAGTTCGTAACTAATCAGATAAGCAATCCCTTAAAAAAAAAACAGATTACAATACTATGAGATGTTTTTCTTTTATGTTTTATATTCTGTAGAGTGAAAGTACCTATTATTTATCTATGAATATTTTCAAGCAGTACATAAAAAGCATAATTTTTACGAAAATTAATTTTTTTTTATTAATTGAAATACTATGTTCAATATTACTTCAATACTTTGGAAAACCGGTTCTATTTGTACGCAATATATTTTTTTTCGCGACTGCATCGCAAACGTAACTATAGCGTAGTCTTTTTTTTTCTTTCCATGTCGTAGCTCATTGACGAGACGAGTTGACGATACTCGAGTTGAGATTCGCGTTTGCTGCGCTTGTACATATATGTACAGTATGTACAGTCGAGGTGACCTTGGTCATCGACCGTTATTTCGACACTGGCCACTTTCTAATTCGACCTTAACGCGCGTGTGTTTACGGTTATCGAGTGGTGGTTCGCTGCAATGACTGCGGGTTGGCCACATCTGTCCTGCCGTTTCGCTTCTCGCTATAAATATTTCCTGGAAAATTTTGACTGTTTCTCTTCTCAGAATAAAAATTTAGCACCATATTCACCATTCCGAGAAACGATCGTGATTATTGCTTAAATCATGAAAAAATAATGAATATTTCGAATATTTCTTATACTTTTCGTGATGTAATTTTTTATTAGAAAAATAATGTTCCAATTGTTATCTATTGAAATTTTTTAAATTATGTTAATTATTGCTTTTATTGTATTTTTATAGTCAAATTAATAAATATTTACATAAAAATATTTTTAAAAAAATATTTTAGTAAAATTTATATTAAAATAAATAAGTTTTCAATTTTTGTAAAAATAATTATATCTTTACGATATATATTTATATTTTAAAAATTTGTGATTTTGAATTTATATTAACCATTTTTTTCAAATCACTTATTTCTTTAAAATATTAATTTTTAATAATAAAATTATTTCTTGCATATAAATGTAAAAAGAAAAATTGAATATTATAAAAATATTCAAGCATATTTGAGTTAAAGATTTGATAAAATAAAGGAACAATGTCATTGATTTTATCTAATTTCAATATTTTTCGATTACGAGACTTAATATAGTTATTATTTATTTTCAAATAAAATGATTAATTGATAAATTATATGAACCATTTTGGAAAAATTTAAAATCTTTAAAAGCTGTTTTATATAAAATGATCGCGTGGAATACTTGAATTGTGGGTAAACGGGATCAAATTGGATGAACAGACTCAGATACGCTAAAACGGAAAATACATCGTAGATAGTGCTTTTAAGATATATGTATATAAAACATAGATGTTATAATGGAAATCTGGTTAACTGTAATGATAGCTGTAAATATATTTGGATTGTGGCCTAAGAAGTTTTAGTTTCTATATGGAATAATACAAAATCTAAGTGATATTTTGACTTAATTCTGTTTCTTTTTGTCTCATCTTTTTTTATTCTTAGTGATATCGTTTTCAACGGAAATATAGAATTCCTGTTTGCATACGTATGTTTTGATAAAAATAGATTACCGCTGGCAAATAGTAGAGTCTGGAAATAAATATGAATTTTCAAGAAAATTTGTATAGAATAAAAAATCTTTTATTTCGTTGTTTTAATATATATGTCGATAAGAAGATTTTACTATTCTTAATAATAGAAAAAGATTACATTAAATTGCTATTAATTTGTTTAGTTAAATTTGGAATTTTTTAAATTTATTTTCAATTAAGTTTATTTCTTATATTTATATTTAAATTTGTGCATAAATATTTTTTTATAATTTTAATATATTTTTATAATTTTATATTTTTTAATATAATAAGTAATATATAATTGTTTTCATAAACATGTAGTAGCAAATATAATATCATCTTTTTCCTTATCGTATTAAAACAGTCAGGATAATATAATTCTATGTATAATTTTTTATTAGAAAAGTAATGTTCCAATTGTTATCTATTGAAATTTTTTAAATTATGTTAATTATTGCTTTTATTATATTTATTAATTTTTATAGTCAAATTAATCTGATATGTGATATTTTTCCCTCTTTTGCTACTAAAATTTATTGCTCATTTTACTCTATATACACGTTACATTTTCTCTCGTCATTCTTCAGAGTATTAAGTAATATATTAAGCAGTGTTATTTTGTTTAATAAAGAGGTTTAAAATACTTTGTTCCTCAAACGCTAATATTTTTTTATATAAATTTAATAAAGATATATGTATATGTAAGTAAAATAAAAAATAATTAAAAATTTTAATTCAATATGTTCTAATTATTAAAGTAATATTTTTATCATCGATTATTTTTTAAAATTTTAAAACTAATTTTTGCCACGATATATTATAAACTGCAAAAAGTATTTAATTTTTTTTCAATGAATCAAATATATATATATATATATATAATCATATACACTTGCATATGAAAAAGATGGATGAGAAATAATGGTCTATCAGCAATTGTAATAACTGAGTAAAACGAGAGCAGCAAACCTGAATCATGTTTCGCAATGATCGCCACAGTTCGTGAGTTCTCGACTATGCTCGATCGATCGCGTACAGATAGAGACATGTATACATTGGCTTCGTCCTACGTCATTGGGCAAGTATCGTGTTCGCATGTACGTCCGTCTCTTTTCTCTTTGCATCGTGCTGCATATATCGTGTTGCAAAACACATGAAAGACTTTATTCTCATAGGGAGAGAAAATATACTAAGTAAAGAATATTATATATCGATAAAAACCTTCTATCTTTATGTATACTTATATTACTTTTACTGTTACTATTCATATAAAATATTAAAAGAGCGATTTTGTTTATTATTCGACTTTCGTCGCAAAACAGAATACGACGTAGAATATATCTTTGCTAAGTAGTAAACGTCGTCAATATTTAGATTATTTACAAGTTAAATATGTCGTTTCCTCATATTATGAATAATTTACCAAGGTTAGCTTTAAATTAGTAAGAAATGTAACCTAAACATTTCGGATCACTATATAGAGAGACGTCAATATAAATGTGCGCGTTGACGGCGTCAACGACGCGCTGGGAGGGTCATACTTTCGAAACAAGGCCACTATAGCCGACCGGTTAACAACGTTATACAAAGCACAGAGTGTGACTAAGCCGACCGCCTACATGCGTGATGCGATGCTTATAAAACTGCGCATGCGTTTTCTTTTTCTTCGGTCGCTTGCTTCTCTTCTACTTGTCGTTTTCCTTCGTTTCTTTCGGTATTGCAGAGTTGCTGTTACTTCGTGATTGAAAAGATAGATAGAGAGCGGCAACGGTCCTCGCTCTATCAAAGTCGTCACGGAAAAGTACTGGTCACACATCTTCTCGATGGTAGACCACGCTTTAGTCGAGACCTCGGTGATTTGTATAGTTGGTTATTTGTGGTGGGGACAGATACGTGCGGATGCTGCGTTGCATTGAAATACATAAGCTTGTCATGGATAGACTCGACAAAGATATCGCGTGTCACAGTCCTTCATAGAACGTGACGAAACGATGCTTTTTTCTTAATATCGATTCATTTATCTGTTCATGCCAGTGGCATGCGTTTCTTCGTATGTAAATTTGAAAACATAAATATTGCGCCGAGAAAAATAATGAGATATGCGATCATTGAAAAAGAACATATTATAAATTTCATTGTACGTGGTATATAACTGATAACATGAAATAATGGTGGAATATTGTCATGATTTATAAATCTGCTTGTGGAAGTTTACCATTCTTAAATATGAATATTCAATTATTAAATAAAGAATTTATTTTATATCTTTTATTCTATTTTGATGAATCATTTATGGAAAATCAATATTATTTGCATACAAAAATTATTAATGTTATTTCCATAAACTTTTTAATTTGTCAAATAAAGAGTTATTTATTAATTTTATTATTTTTTATTATTCATTTTACTAACTTTAATGAAATAGTAAATAGAAATATTATTAAATGAAGTAAATATGATAGAATGTTCCTCTCATTTATTGACATTTCTTAATCTTTCAAGTACGGATTTCGTATGTTGTATAAATCTTAAATATAGAAGTCGATAGTGTTTGAAAAAATTCCAATACATATATGGAATTTATCTTTTGAGCTAATTTTGAAATTTCAATTTCAATTAAAAATTAGTTTCGATCAATTTTCGGGCTAAAAAAATATTCAATATTTTTCTTATTTGAAAGATTAATATTGCATTTGTATTGTGTTAATGAATAAATTTAAAAAAATTAACAATGTAAAATATAACATTTTATTATTATATGATGCTTGATAACATTTTTTATTTATAAACATTATAATCAATTCCAATATTTCATTAAAATTTCAAATTATTGTATATTTTTATATACAATATTATTAATTGCAATTAAATTATGATTGAAACCAATTAAAATATATTTCATGAAAATTAAAAATTTTTTGTATTATCTTTAATTAATATATCGAAAATTCGAAGGCCAGCCACTATATATATGATATTACGATATCGTGAGTATATCATACAATCGAATCTATAAAATAGATAAATGTTACGAGTAACACGTGCGTCGTATATTAATGATTTTATCGTTGAAAGTGACCTGAGATAATATATAAATAATTCGTAAACAATATCAAAATGTGTAACTTCGCAATTCTTCTGTGAGTATATTATACCTAACATTGAGATATTCAATATTCGTGGTCGTGCACTCAACAAATAACTCACGAAACTTCGACACAACTGGCGATACAGATGGCACATCTTGTATGTCTCGTTTGGTTAGCGATCTCTTGCAGAATATCAATTTTATAGTAACGTTCAACTTAATCTAACACTAGGCTGAAAATCAAACTTCAAGAAACAAATATATTCGTTTTTATATTTATCTTTTTAGCATTCATCATAGGTTATGTTGTAATATATAAGAATGAACAAGTATAGTTTGTATGGCTACTGTTATGCGTTACAATGTAATGTTACGATGAATCTTAAAAACGTAAACGTTACGTCGGCTTTTTGATTATTTTTTGGGTTTAACTAGAAATAATTGTCTTCATTCAATTCTAGATATTTGGAAATTAATTGAATTAATTGTATCATTATTGTCTATCTATTTATAAGGAAACGAGGTTTGTCTGTTCTCGATGCAATGAATGAATGACAAAAATACAAAAGTTCATTGCAATTAGCATAATCGTATGATGTCATGAAGAGAGGAAAGGATATCTTCTGTCTTCCAATGAATCATTCAAGTTCTTTTTGTTCCTGTGATATTTATTGATTATTATTTCGAGTAATATTGAATTTTTGACAATTGGAAGTCAGTTGGTCACGTTAATGATGTATAATAAAAACAAAAATATTATAATAACGATGCGATAAAAATTGTTCGAATTTCAGGAGCATATGTTGGTCCATCTATTCCATTAGCACCAGCAAATGTAGCGGCAAATGGTGGAGGGTCTCCTCTTCGTCCACGAACTAGCCCTCCACCACCGCCGCCACCAACGCAAGAAACCACTAATGATAATCCACAGACGAATCATCACCAGGTAATCGAATTAAAATATTAATGAATATATCTATAATGATAATAATATAAAAATTCATTAAATATATATTTAAGTATATATTTAAGTATATAGTTGGATCTTGGCAATAGATTTTAGGTTTTTTGGATTATTTAATTTTATTTAATTTATTTATTTATTTTTATAATATTAAATTTTAATAAATGTTATCTTTATAATATAAAATGCAGGGCATTGAGATGTGGTATTCTAAAATTAAATAATTGATATTGATTATAAAGATCCAATATTTACAATTATATTATAAATTTATTATATAATATAAATTTATTAAAGATTATATATAATATAGTTTATAAATTTTTATTTGAAATGAAAATTAAAAATAATTTTATAGGGTACAACAAACGGCCCATCTCCAATGGCCGCGCTCATGTCTGTTGCTGATAATTTAGCATCACCAGAATCAGTGCCACAACCACCAAATAATCCAAGTCCAACTAGCAGAAGCCCACCGACTACGGCTACGAACGCTCAACAACGTAGTGCCTCCAGAGGATCGCAGCATAGCCCGAATAGTTCAGGTAATTTTTTTTTTTTTATTTATTTCTTTCTTTTTTTATAACTCTCAATTAGTACTGTTAAGTCGTAAGTAAAGGATCATTGATTATTCTATTTTTATTAAGTTTATTTTTGTTAAATTATATAATATAAAATGAATATCCTAACTTAAATTTAATTCAAAATATTGTATAATATTTATGATTCAACAAAATCAATTAAATTAAGTTATTATGAAATGATTAGAAAAATATTAAATTAAATCATATATATATATTAATTATTTATAGCATCGTCGGGTAGGAGGTCCAGTGGTTCAAGACATGTATCGTCAACGACTGTAACAACTTCATCAGAGGGAGCAGTTGCTCAAGTTGCTGGAGCTGAACAAGTTTCAGCACCAATATTAAAATGCACTTTGTGTCAAGAACGTCTCGAGGACACACATTTCGTTCAGTGTCCCAGTGTACCACATCATAAATTCTGTTTCCCATGCAGCCGAGAGAGCATAAAGAGACAGGGTGCTGGATCAGAGGTGAATTTTCGTTTATCTGAGATGAACGATCATTATTTAATGTAATAATATTTTTTGTTAATTTTAATTTTTTCAGGTTTATTGCCCAAGTGGCGAAAAGTGTCCACTGGCGAACAGCCAAGTGCCATGGGCGTTTATGCAAGGCGAAATAGCCACTATCTTGGGCGACGATACCACCGGTTCTGGGCTTAAAGTAAAGAAAGAAAGAGAAACTTAAAGATTCTCATACTGTTTTAAAACGGGGCTCAAATTTTGCACCCTCTTTGACGAGGGTTAATTATGGTGGAACCGTGAAGGTTTAACCAAAAAATACTTTTGGTAAAGGTGATAAATGTTGGCGGCGATATTGCCAACATTATTCGATTCGAGCCAAAGACGTTGTCGGTGCAAATTGGAATTAATAACGAAGTTGTTGATGTTGTTGTCGGGGAAAGTGGACGATTTTTTTCAGCGATTTGTTTCGCTGAATGTTCTTTTCACCGAGACAACAGACTGTTTCGATCGATCAATCGTTCGTTCGATCAATTGTTTTTGACTGGTTTTGAGAAGAAGTCTTTGGCATACTTTTTGACATAATGGCGTCGGTTCTGCATACGTGTATATATGGGATTATCATAGGACGGTTAATGCGCGAAGAAGTCAAAAAAAAAAAAAAAAAAATACGTGGTTTCTATCGAATATATACAAATTAACATAGAAGAAATCACGGGAGAGATTTTGTGTCCGGTTTGGGTTTGTACTTAGGCTCAATCGCCTTTCTTTATTGTTTCTTGTGTCGCGACATTTTCGCGTTTTTTGAAGTACAACAACACACAATAATACATACAACAGGATATACACTATACACATAACACATGTATACACATACAAGCATGATTTGTTGCGTACACATACACAAATTACTAAATATACATATATACATATACATATACATAAAATACATAACATGATACTATTAAAATTAGGCGGTTGTATTGTACTTTATTTTTATTCACGCTATACCGTGGTCGCGGATTAACCGGAGTCGGAAATATCGTGCTTCGGTGTTCTAAAATCCGTCGAGAAAATTTTTGACGGATGTCCTTTTCTAATCTTTCATTTGTATACTCTTTCTACTATTACCACACACTCGTTGTATGATAGAAACATAAAAACATGGCGGACATATTTAGACCCAGCGTATGGGTTTTCTGTACATTGTGTATATGTGTACATACCACATTATTAATAAAACTTATGGACTAAAGAGGAATAACCATTTTTAAATGTACAAAAGAAAAATTTACATTCATTTTGCGTGTTATTCTTATTAAATTATTTTTCTTTTTTTTTCTTCTTTCTTCTCGAATTATTATAAAATAAACGAAAAAAATCGTATATTTAAAAATATTTTACAAAATATTTGAGCGAATTTTGTTTTTGTTTTTTCTTTTCGTTCTTTCTCGTTTGCGAAAAATTATGAAATCTCTTTTTAACATTTGTCTGGTATCTAAAAAAAAAAAAAAAAAAAAAAAAAAAAATACAAGAGAGAAAGAAGGATTTGGAAAAGGAGGGGTGGGTATCGTTCTTATCCAGTCATTCATAATAAAAAAAAAATCGGTATCCGATTATGTAACGTCCACTTTCGCCTTTAGTTATTTGCTAGACTTTAAGTGAGAGGGCCTTTTGGTTTTTCATTTTGCTGATGAAAAAGATGACGCCCGTCAAATAGGAACCATACACTCGCTATTGTCTCTAAAAACGTAAAAGAAAAAAAAAAAGGATAAAAAAATGATGAAATAAAAAGTGAAACAAAGCGGAAAAAAGGGGAATGGAAAGAAACGAAATGAGAAACCGAAAAAAAACGTAAGCAAGCATATATATATATCTTGGTATCTATCTGGTGTCCGAGAATTTTTATCATGAGTTTTGTCTGCTCCGATTAAGAGCATTTTTCGGACACGAGCATGACTCCTTTTTGTATATATTTGTACAAAATGGATATTGGCACAATAGACGAAGAACAGAGTGACGAAATCGCGCGAGATCGAAAATTGCAAAACGATCACGCATTGCGTGGCTCAAGTTCTAATCAAAGACGCTTCGTACTATCGTTAGACTCTGATTTCCGGTGGAACTTGACGAACTCATCGTTTCTGTTGGTCAACGGCGCTCTTTTTTCGAATCACATGTTGCTTCGATACTCATTCGAGAATTCATCGAAGCAGCCTGTGTGTAGAGGCTATCTGCGTTAGCATAAGCAAACTTATTGTAACGAAGTAGGAGTGCAAAATTAATAAAAATGAGTGAGAGAATGCTGAGTGATGAGATATGGTGCGAAAGAGATATTAATCCTTTCGTGACTGTGCCCTTAGTGTTGAGAGTGTTCTTTTTTTTTTTTATATATATATATATATATTTTATTATATATATATATATATATATAAGTCAAAATAATTTTTGTGATACGGAAATATGTGTACGAATTTATTTAAGTACAGTTGATGGAAGTGTTGTAATAATCATAAGATTTGATTTAGTATTAATCCTCTATAATATTTTGTAATTTGGAATTCAATAACTATGTATTACGTATAAGATATTTCTTATTATATTCTTGTATCTTATAAATATATTACAATAATGATATTAAGTAATTTGTTTATATCATTTATTGGTTTTAAGATTTCAAACCAAAAATTTGTAATCAGTTAATTATTTTTTATAAATAAACAAGTTATGGAGGGTTAATAATCGAAGTTCGAGTTTTGCTCAGGATTGTATAATGTCAACATAGAGTTATTTCTTTTTTAATAGTATGTTTAAAAAAATTTTGTACATATAGTTTAGAAAACAGGTTCTATAAATATGTTATTTTTAATATATATAGAATAATACATGTATGTAGAAATTACAATTTTGCAATGCTGCATCCACATATAATTTCGTAATTCTAAATAGCAACTGTATGGCTTTTTTTTTATGAAAATAACTGAAAATATAGTTAGAAATTACTTGAAAAACAATTAATATAACATCTGGAGTTATTAGATTGTCTTTTCATACCAGAAATTTACTATAAAGCATAAATAAATAAAAAGACTATCATTTTTTTTAGAAATATTTAAAATAAAAATTAAAATTAATGAAAAATACAGAGCTCAATTTAATATTCCAGAAATTTTGGATATGATCAATTTTGCCTTATAATACTGAGTCATAACAGTCGTATAGATTATCACTTAAGAGAGAGTTATTTTATGCAATATATAAATACAAGGAGGTTGAAGTTAGTTTTAATTCAATGTTAATTGCTTTATATCATTATTAGATATCATCAAATACAAATTGAAGACAATGTTTCAATATTTTGCATCTGCCAAGATTTTATAGCAGTAAATGACTTATGCTCGCTTAAATAAGTATATATTAAAAAGATGGTAAGGCAAAAGGTTAATATGTTAATTTCTAATCTTTTACCGCAGAAGAATTCCATTTATCTGAATGCGTCACATGGACAAATAGTTCATATAAATGGAGTTCACTTATAAACACAGGTTCTCCTCATTATCTACAATTTTTATCTATAAATAATAAAAATTCATCGTTTGGATAAATACAATTAGTAGGATTTCAGTTAATCAGGCATTAATCGAAATCTTATTTCAATTGGTGGAGTTCAGATAAATAAAATTCTACTGTATAATGCTTCCATCAACTATACTTCGTATAATTATGGTGTAATGCATATAAGTGGAAATAAAAATAATTCTATTAAAGAAAATGTGTACGTACGATTTAACTCTTGAAAGGCGGATAATAGACTGCCTGGATACATTTGGACCCATAATAACAATATATAATCTGCATTTTAAATAATTTTTATTATATTTGCTTTCTATACTTCTTACTGTAAATTAAACAATTATTATTCATTATTATTAATTGAACAGGTTATTGAAAGTCTAATGTGCGGGGGGCCCAAAAGTACCCCAGGCACCGTCCAACGAGGGTTAAATTAAATGATTCGATATCTAGGGGAGTGATGAAAGGATTAATAGAAAAAAAAAAATAATAAAAAATAAAAGGAAATAAAAAAAAAAATAAAAAAAATGAAGAATGCAAATAAAAAAGAACGAGAGAACGCGAGAAAAAGAAAAGAGGGCCGAGATTGAAAAGAGCACAATTGATCGTAGCAATACTACAGAGGCTGTACATGATATTTTTTAGTCCGAGGTAGGTAGTTCCTACCTTCGAAATTGAATCGAGGCACTCGATCAAAAGGAAACTTACAATTTAATCCATCATTGAAAAATAATGGATAAGTTCATAGAAAACAAGAGAACGAGAAAGCAGATAAAAGAAAACGGAAAAAAAAAAAAATATGAAAGAAGACAATTGTCAAGTTAAGTTCTTCAAGCAGAAACAACTTCTATTGTTGTATTTCGTTCGTTTTTCCTCATATTGCGCGATTTTGTGAACCGTGTATATTCTTTTTCTAACTGTCCGATGCGATTTCCTTTTTTTTTCCACGTTTACATTGCTGAAAATCGATTTTGTTGTCGCGAGCTATTCAAGAGGGCCTTCACCCTCTCGACGTATCGATATACAACGTACTATTGGTCGTCGAATTCGGTCGTCTGAACGCCGATCGTTTTTGCTCTTTTTACTGTCCGTTTTGCTGTATTTTGTATTTTGCTGTATTGTTCGTGCGCGATCGTTTTTTTAAACGCTTGCTCAATTCCCGATAGTATTTTTGGACGACGTTTTACGAAATAAGAGAAAAATACAACAGAAACGCGTTTATTTTTCTCTCGGGTAGTGTGTGTGTACGCGTTGATATGTTCAAGCGAATATAATAGCAAAGATTTTCCCTCTTTTCTTCTTTCTTTTTATTTTATTTTATTTTTTCTCATTTTCTTATTTAAAATGTCGTCCAGATAAGAGAATTTGGAAATGCACAAAGGAAACGATGTTTCGTTGAAGCAACAATATGATAATAACTGTTACATTATTCTTCGATAATTATATAGCGTTTAAAAATCATCCTTTTGCGTTTCACGTTCGTCCAATTTCATTGCTGACGACTAAAAAAAAAAAAGAATCTAATTTTTTTATCAGAGACATTTGTCTATTTTCGTTATTCTAAAAAAAAAAACGCAGCACTAAGAACGCGCAATCTTTGTTTCCAAGACAAAATAGAAGAAAAAAAAAATATATACGTACGAATTTTTTCAAGCAGTGTTTTTTCAACTGTACCGTGTTCATTCCGTTTGATTTTTTTTTTTTTTTATCAATTTTATCTTTCATGATAGTTACACAAACAGAAGTATACAGGAAAGCGGAAGTAACGAAATAATACGTCGAATAGCAATTGTAGTAGTGAATAATGAAATTTTCTAGTATACCATACCTCGAGGATGCGTAAACATTGTACTGTTTATCGTATGTATGCAACATGCAAAAGCAAAATATATGTGTTGATGTGTAATAATTGTGCGTTATATTTCTTATTATTTATCCTTTTTAGCCTTTTAGGAATACCAGTATATATGCAATATATTAATTATTTAAAAGTAACGCTCAGATATTCGTAATTTTGGATATCTGAAATTAAATTCGGATTAAATCGAATTGAAATGAATTGTATTGGAATTCTGAAAATTTATATATTTAAATAGATATTGATTCGAATCGGAA